CACACACACCCATATCCAGTGCAAACCCGAAGGAATTAGACCGGAAGGCATGTGGACGGGAGCCACGTTTCATCAACAGAGCCGACCCACACTGCTTCAACATACACAGTAGCAGCAGCATTCCTGTCTATCTATGTAGGGAATCATGCGTACCAGACGTACACAAGGCGGTGGCTGGACCGTAGTCCGCTCCACACTGGATGGAACCACTCTTTGAGCCTAGCACGGTCACGAGGAAAGTGCACCCCCCCTCTCCAGCAACGATTCACAGTCTCCTGGAGCCGGTATATCACGTGGTGGAGGGTGTTAGACAGGGGTGCACCTTGTCAACATTTACAACAAGCGCAACCAGGCATTGCATATCACACGGTAGGTTTACTCTGTCAAGTGCACATCCAACAGACCGACAGTCAGTTGAGTTTAGCACAACGCAGACGACAAAGCACATCATATGCTTCGTTAGCTTGGATCTTGGCTATAGCACAGTAGCAGTGCAATTCCTGTAAAACCGCATACGCTCACATTCACTTGTCCACACTTGTTTATGAATTACCACAAACTGAATGCAAAAGCACGAACCCTCACGAGCAATAATAATAAATTCGTTCAAATTTATCTATCAGGCCCCAAAGCACCGCTCGAACTACGTCCGCAAGCGACTACTAGAAGCCGCTGAAGCAATTGCGATCTGGCTGTATGAACCGGAGCTATGTGTTCAGAAGCTAAGAGCTTGGGACTGCCCTGGCCCAAACGACCGGTGACCTCTGACCCACGAGGTCACACGCGGTCGATTGGCGTGACTTAACAGCCAGCGCTGTTAGCCTCCAATTAACTCGCTCCAGTAGTAACGGCTTGTAATGTCTGTCTGCACATTTTGATTTGCATATAATTGTATAAGCCTGAAGATGAATTATCGAAAACATATGTTCGCTTACCCTGACTTCTGATAATAATGCAAATCTCCATGAGTTGGGATTGGAGGTAAGATTATCAGTCAAATTTGTCAAGTTATGAGACATCGCACATGCACTCATAAGTACCCAAAAATAACTGTTGGTAGTTACTTAAACGCTAAGCGTGAATCTAAATGACAATCTTAAGTTAACTGAGTACCAGCGATAGATATAAACAGGTGTGGGAATAGGGAAACAAATTCCATCAATACGGTTACCAGTTGGAATGATACAAAAATAACAGGCACAGTACAACGGTGATGGCTTATCGTTAGGGAAGTCGGGCTTGCAGCTGCTGGAGGTAGCACAGCGTGAAAATGCGACGGATTGTCAACTGCAGTCTCTTCGTGCCACCGCTTAAATCTGAACGCTTCCGATCGTCCCCTGTACGAGGTATGTGCGTATTCCCGAAGAACGTCTCTTGCTCTAATGAAGCACTCACTGACTGATGGCCTCTCTGATACGACCACAGCGATATTATAGCAAACATGTACCCCTTGAGAAACAGCCGACTTTCGAAATGGTATTCAAACTGCTTAACAAAATTTCCTAGCATGGATGGCATAGAAGTACTCCTACACAACTATTGGCAGATGTAGCTATGTGCTCTGTTGTGACGATAAGCCATTTAAAAAGGGTCTGTCATCAGATGTCTCGGGTTCAGCCATCGGCACTTTGCAACAATGGTAGCTGTGTGCGAGTTCCTTTCCGCTTAAATATGCGAAGGTGTTAACATACCATCGCAGTGTATCTCTCATTCTTCTTATGTTACCTGAAGATTGACCATTTCTACTTTTACTTCTAGTCAGTGCATCTGCACTCCCGCCTATAACGCCGATAGTAGTAGCTGTCTTTTCATAAGTTCAGTTAAGTAAAAGTCGGCGGATGAATGAAGAACGAAAAATACTGCTGTTTTTACTTTCATGACTAGCATGTGAACCGGAGCATGAAACATCAACATGATTATAATAATCACTGGTCAGTTACTTGTCTGGATTGTTCACTTTCAATGGATGTTCCGTTGCTGTTTTCCTGATATGCTTGGTCCAACGTGGACACTCGAAACAAAGCTTGTTGGTCCTTGAACTCCAAATTTCAGACTGCACTCCAAAGCCAGAAAGCGTTGTGGGGTACTTGGACTCCAGAGATAATTGTTAATCACTACACCCAATTCTTCACTCACATGCAAAGAACGAATGTTGAGTACCGTAACCGGCAAGCGTTGCGTAGTCTGGAGCGAACGCCGTTCCAACGGGATCAAAGCTACAGAGCCGGAACTGGATAACCAAGATATATATATATATATATATATATATATATATATATATATATATATATATATATATATGCGTGTGTGTGGTTGAGACGGTATCCGTTTCCGGTTTCACTTGTTCCTGGGACTGCAAACATCAGCCGGACTCTTGCACCTAAGTAGGTTACCATCCATGGCTTGCGCTGTACCACGCGCAGCTCCATCCTCACACCTCAAATCCAGTGTATATCCGAAGAAATAAGACTTGGACGCATATAAATGGGAGCTACGATTAACTCGGAGCTGGCCCATACTCCCACACGCAAATCATTCATTTGAACTGGGGGGAACATATGCACCAAACGTACACAGGGCGGTGACTTGGCAGTAATCCGTTCCACACTGGACGGAACCACCTAGCACCGTCACGAGGATCTTGCACCCCGTTTCCCCCAGCGACGATTAACAGTCGGTAATCCAGGTGACGGTTTTCGACAGGTAGGCACTTTGTCAACACTCACATCAAGCGCAGCCAGACTAAGGATATCAATAAGCAAACAATAAAGTGCAAGAAAGTAATTACGCACTCATGCGCACAGATCAGCGGAAGCGAGGATGTGACACACGTTTCGCATCCACTGCAGTATTAGACTGGGTTACTAAGTGAGATCGGAAGCAGCTTACCTACCAAACGCTGCGCTGGTATTTACCTATTCAACTTGCTTACTCTTCCCCTCTTCGATATTGGTCCCTTGTGGTTATGTTGATGGCTTACCAGACAGGTTTAGCCGAGGTACATACGACCGCAAGTGCTACAGCACCATATGCTTGCTGTTGTTGGGCTATGCTCCATCGACGCGTGTGGCCTCCGTAACCGGCGTTTTCCTTCCTCATGCAATAATCTTTTCTGATAGACCTGGATAAGGGCATTTTGATGAGCTCGCACCCTATATTTATTTGTTTATTCATTTATTTCTAGCGAATAGGTTCTCTGTATTCTACTCCTATGTAGCACAGTCGTTGCAGTCATGATGCAGCGGCCAATCGCATCTATTTCTGAACCATGTAAGCTCCGCTTCTTGGGTACCTGCCGACTTGTCATCTGCTGAATACTCAATACTGAGATTATGCAGCGAGTAGAGTTGCCTCTGTGTAGCTACATCTAATATCTTTTAAGTAAATCTATCTGTTATTATGATGATTATTCTCGAAATCTCAAGTCGGCAAAGTACGAGTCTAGGAGTTTCTTAAACTCCGACACCGACTTTACTTCGACTGTTTACAGGCAGGTTGTCCCAAATATTCACCACCCTCCACTCGAAGCAGAGTAGTGGGTGAGTGAGCCGCTTCAAATCCGGTACGATAAGCTTGTACCGGTATCCTCGTGTGCTGCATGGTGTGCGCATATGCAGCAGCCGCCTCAACACGCGGTAACCACCCAGATGTAATATCTGGTGCGTCATGATGTGGTCAACCCGCATTCGACGACGAGATTGGGTGTACAACCCTAGTCTCTTGCACTGGTCTTCATATGGTACACCTCGTAAACCGGGGATGAGTCTTGTGGCAGCATGCTGTACTCGCTCAATCCTTTGCACCTAGCCGCGGCTCAGTGGACAATAGGCGGGCGAGCTGTACTCTAGCATTGGTCTGCTAATAGAAGAGAAGAGGCGGGTGGCAACCTCTTCAGACCAAATGCAGAAGTTGCGTTTGAGCATGCACAGTTTGTTTTGCTACAGCCTGTTCGTGTTTTCAACGGATTTCAAATCGCAGCGTGAGAGTATGCCGTGATCTTTCACGGATGGCAATGGGTGTAACTGTTGGCCGGCCAAATTGTAGACTCGGCCATTACCACACTTACCCAGCCTCATGAATACCGACTTGACCGGGTTGCTCGGAAGGTTGACCTTCGCTGACCACATGGAGAGGCGGTCAAGGTCACGCTGAAGCAGGTCGTCGGAGACCTCAGTTACCCTCCATATCTTAATGTCATCTGCAAACAACGCGCAAGGTGAACTGGGAAGCTGAGGCCAATCGTTGATTTGGATCAGAAACAAAATGGGCCCAAAGAACTGTGCCCTGCGGGACGCCGCTGGTGGAGGGTTACCACTCGGTCAGTTGCTTTTCCACCTGCACCCTCCACGTCCGACCAATAAGGAAGTCACTGATCCACTGGTGCAGTGAGCTACCAACACCGCACATCTTCAGGTTCCGAAGGGGGATTTCATGGTTCACCTTATCAAACGCTTTACTGAAGCCGTTGTAAATAACGTCAACTGACTTCTCTTGGTTTAGCGGTTGTAACCATTCGTGCCTCGAGAGCAGCAGGTTTCTGATGCATGAGCGACCTTTCATGAAACCGTGCTACGTGGGCGTCTGGATGCTTTTCGACTCGAGATGCTGCCGAAGACCACGCTTCACGATGTTCTCTAGTGTCTTAGCCAAAACACTGGTCAGGCATATCGGCCGGTAGTTTTCCACGTTGGTCGGATCGCCGCCTTTCGGAATCGCAACCTTTGGTGACTGTGACCTCTTGTGGGCCGCCTTCGTTTGTTCTAAACTCGATCATCGCTGCTGCCAGCACATCACCTAATCTCCGATCTTGCAAATAGTTACGAACTAACGTTCCCATAGTCGGGCTTTTCCTCATGAAGTTTTGATATCGCGGCCTAATCACTTTTGCCATGCATTTTCGTTCCCGTCCATTTCATTCACCATCACTCCAGTCGAGCCACTTCATTTTGACTTCCACTTTAGATGCCCATTGTTAATTTCCTCCCGCTGTTTCGATTCAGGTGAATGCTCACGAACTACTTCAGGTCAAATTCGACTGGGCTCGCCAATTGGAGACTTACCGACGCACGTCCACAGGACATGTGTTGCTTCAAATTGTTTACAATGCCGACTTCCAGCCGATGATCTTCAATGCAACTCGACTGTATGACACACGTTGGTACGACTTCCGTGTGGACATGGAACGCGCGGATTCCGCGGATTCTGGCGTTGGAATCGATCAGGAGCTTACAGGCCCGTCTCCGCTGAGTGTGACCTACACGGGGTAAATTTGACTTCATGATGTCCATTGTCACGTTATTCAACCAGCAGTTCTATGTTAATCGTGTACGTCTTATACCAAGCAACAACGTTTACGCCATGCGGATCCACAACAAAGGCTCATGGCATCTACTCAAATTTTCTAGCCGTTGCATAAACCCAAGACGGTCAAACGCTGGTAACGCGCCTTCTGTTTGTTTTTGTGTTAGCCTCCTAATCGTTCTGAGGCGAGAATATGGTTAATGTGGAGATAATTCGTCCTTTTGCGGCCGAGAAACGCGTTCATTTCCACTCTACTCCTGACTGGCCGGTGGCCGAATGGGATTGCACACCTGTGTTGTAATCCTGAGGTCGCCGGTTCGCATCCGCGTAAGTGCGAGCTACTACGCGTTATACCCAGCCCTGGCGCGACTGGTGATGGCAGTAAAGCGTTGGTCCGGTGTACCGGCGTACTGCTGATGCCTTCTTCTACCCTTAACCATTCAGGGGCACCTTAGTTTAACGAATGAACACGCGCTCCCGAGCGGGATGGTACCGCACCACTGCTTCCCATCTCGATATCATCCCATTGCTCCTCTGTGCAAGTGGCTATCTGCTTTCTCTCTTTGTATTTGATCCCATGATGCTCAAATATGAGTTGGTGCATGTCGACGGCAACACTGGCAATCACCGGGCTCTTTTTGAATTGACTGGTGAGATACACACCGGGGAAACTTGCGGATGAATCCAAACAGATTACATATTTTGTGGCATAAAAGGTGTACATCATGTAGAGGCGTGTCAAAGTGGTGTCAAGGCCACCAGCTGCTCACGCGGTCCAGTTGCAGTACCAGATGACGGGCAACGAATGCACAACGGACAGCGCGACGAAAGAGCCTCGGTGAACAAAAATAGCCTACTGGAGCGTTAAAACAGGGAAATCACTTGACCAAAAAGGTGGTCAAAATAAGCAAGGAAATTGGATTAATTTCGGAAACAGTATTATATCATTCGTGTTGTTTTATGAAGAAAAAATGCAATCGTTACAAAATTCCACTTTGCTTCTACTCATAGTGGAACCATCCAATCTTTGTCACCCCACCCACCACACTACGCGTCACATTATTATATAAAAGACTCCTCATGAGGTCAGTTTGGGTTGATCTCTGGGTTAGTTGATCAGAAAGGGGAATGCTCACGCGACCTAATATGGACTTTCGAATTACTGCTGTTATTAAAGCGGTTGTCAACACTTCCTCCATTTGGGTCTAACTGATAAGAATCTCTTTCTGCTTCTTCTCATTCCAACACCGATTCTTCGAAATCAATGGGCACTCGAAATAGCCTGGTGTAGCTATACTTCTTGAGACTGACTAGTCCCATGCAACACCTAGTTGCTACGACCATAGTTTTCTCCATAACTTATAAAAGTAAGATCGCCAGTTCGAACACCGCCGAGTTCACTGGAAATATGCGCCTTTCATCAGTCCAGAAACTACGAACAGGATGTTTCTCACTTTTCAAACGTGTGAAGGTTTTATGACTATGCCCACCTATGAAGAATTCCCTTGAAATTTGTACCATTTTCCCTTTATGCTTGATATTTTTCGTACTGCGTATGTTCACGTTGTTTTCTTACAGGATTCATGATGTTCCCACCAACACACACACACACACACATTTCATTCCGCTTGGACGCTGTAGGAGCGTTCTAGTCGTCAGCTACAGCTAACACTTGTGGAAAATTACGCCGCTTGTCAACTCTGAAGCCGTGTTTTCTTTTATGTCTGTGTTGCTGTGCTTCCATAAGAGAGCACCATAAGTCACCACCCACGTTTCAGTTCTTGACTATGTGACGTACTGGGAATCGTCCCCAAACAAACATCGTTTTCAGAGATAATTCCTCACAGTCGATTCTCAGGCAGCAGCCTTTGCAAATTTGGAAAAGCACTATACAGCGCTGTTTCTACCTTCTGGGTCTCATCAGTGGTGCGCCTTCCATCGACCCTTGCCGGGTTGACCTCATGACTTCTGGATGCCAGCGGCAAGCGCCACTTTGTCATGTGTGACAGCCCCGGATCTGCGTAATTGACAGTTGACTATGATATAGCCCCGCTCATCTTCCACTGTCATACCAGTTACGAATTGTGCAAGGATATCAGTTAACTCCACGAGCCAGAACTATGTACGACATAGGGTCTAGATGCTATACGGACAGATTTTTATGTTACTAATGAATAGTGAGTAGTATAACAATAGGTCTATATAGCATATCAGTCCCATGTCGTAGCTAGGCGCTATGCGGAAAGCCCTGGCTCGTGGAGCAAACGGTTGTGCTCTGCACAGTTCGTAACTGGCATGTCGGTGGAACATGAACCGGGCTATATCATAGTCAAGTGCCAATCACGCAGCCCGCGGCTGTCACTCCTGGCGAAGTGGCACTAGCTACTGTCATCCTGAAGTCATGAGGTCAGAACCCGGCAAGAGTCGATGGAAGGCGCACCACTGATGCGACCCAGAAGGTCGTAACAGCGCTGCCTGATGCTCTTCCAGATTTGCAAAGGATGCTGACTGAGAGTGGACAGTGCTCCATTATCTCTGACTTATACCAAAATCCCCACTACGCATTAGAAACATAGTTTTGCTTACAGTACCGTGAATGTAGCCGGTGTATTCATCCACCCGCTAAGCTAACATGTGGCTTTCATTTGGTTGCCTGGTGTTGTGTGCCAAATCATAATGTTCCTCTCGCAACATAGGCTTCCAATTCGTAAAGTATATTCACCCGTTATGCTCGTTCTCAGGTCGGTCACAGAAGCCCGTATTTCGTATCCTGGACTATGCAAAGCTAGTGCATTCGCATCGTGACCATCGAATTCTTGGAAGTGCCAAGTCCACCTCATTGTTTCACGTCGATTATCCTACGTTTCTTCAAGGGTTGCTATGCACTCCCGTGCTCACTGATCGAATTTTTCGTATGTGTACTGCAGCTCTGATCTAAAGAAAGTACTGTACTGCTAGCTGACACGATGGACTCAACTAACCGCAACTCTTGCTCTGATCACACAATCCCCATAACCTAGCTCACAGTCCATTTAATTTTCTTCGATTTGTTTTCCGCACTCAGCACCGGCCAGATCAATACAATACATTGGGGAGGTGCAAGTTATCGATTCAGCTACGATCCCTTGAACAGGCTCCGAGCCACCGATCTGGGAAGTCCCACAGAATCCATTTCATTCCAATACCTAGATCATCGTGTTCCCTACTTAGTGAGTTGCTTTTCGTTCCTAAGATGCTACCCTTTCGGATATTATCCTTGTTATTTCACCTTTCTTTACTCTTATGGAACACCGCTCTTCGCTGCCAATATTTATCCAAATCCCCGTGTGGCACTCTCGGCGTCCATGGGCCCATGATAAGTGGCTGTTTAATTTCCTGGTTTCTAGCTACTATTTCCATTTTAAATAATACATATCCACCAGGTACCGCATCACCTTTCCCCCTAATACTGGCCATGTTCTCATTGTTCTTTCTAGCCGACAATCGTTTCTGTCAGTGGATTGGGACAGTACAAGTTCTTTTACTCTCACGGTGCCTTCAAGGATGGTTCTTCGCAATCTCTCGGCGCTGAAAACGTTGTCAATCCAGTCGGACTAGCCCGCGTTCTCACTCCGTCTGGTTTGAGTAGAGAATTTGTACGCTCTGTCGGTCTCGGAGTTCACCGACTAATGTACACTCCTTGGTCTGGTGTACCAAATCCATGGATCTTTGAATGGGGGAACGATCTCCTTCCATCCAATCCTGACTGTGCCCACGTTTTCGGGAACGAGTTACTTCGATTCATCTGGCCTAGTCAACATCGACGCGTGTCCCACTTCCCTCGGCTAAATCGAATTGTGTTCGATAAGACTATAATCCACTGGGATCTGTCTGGTATGGAATACACGCCGCAATTTAACGATCTCTCTTCAGCTCCATTTGTCCAAATGACCGATATCACCTCTGGGTACCGCTGTACAACTTGGCGCACCTATCACGGCACTCTCTTGAGCACGATCAGAGTAGAGCAGAGTGTTCCAGGCGCTCGGAATGCGCATCCCTCACTTGGAGGACTGCTACATGCCCGCTTCGTTTATGAGTACAATGCGAATTTGAATGTGAGTCCGACACGTCCGTATGTCCACTTTACGTCTTCTTGTAATATTTTACACTCGTTTTCACATACCGACTCCGATTCTAGTGGACCTTTCTTGGACTGAAGCAAATCCACATCACCTCCGGAACGTGTCTCATGTTTATACACCCTATTCACCTTGTCTCGATCCATCGAGTTAGTTCGGTTGGGCTCGATTTGATACTTGTTTGTTCTTGATACAAACGAGCGAGCGATTGCGCTGTGGTAACCCGCGTTGCTATGGTAATGGAATCCACTGATAGTGGATTAAAATAAAATTGTTCGAATTGAATTACGTTGAAGACAATGGCAAAAATCTTGAACCAAAGGACCGATAGTCGCAGAAAGAAGGCGGCGAATACTAAGTCTCATTAATTTGTTCACTTATTATCTTGAGTGAATGTTGTTCCAGCCATTAATGTGGTTGATCTGGTAAACCCCATTCGATCAAACTCTTACTGCTCTTCTCCGGCATGGCCTCTCCTAATTAGTCTCTCCCTTTGTGGATGATCATTTTCTCAAGACAGACAAGTGGCATTCATGCGGTGCGAGCCGCAGCTATTGACAGTCTGTCAGCAGTGCGCCAGTGGTCCGCACTGGTTTCTTCGTTACCATGCGGCTGCTCAGACTATGACAAGAACAGGGATTCAATCACGGGACATAGAGCTTGCATGCCAACTGTCCCTAGGTGGGGCCATATCAGCCTTTTGCATGAATTTCTAGTGAATTTGCCCTCCTAAAAACAGCGGGTGGACGCCATCACCATCCAGTCAGCCGTCCCATCACAATTATAAAGTATCGAGGGCCCTATACGGATCACGAACTCACCGCATGTGAATGTTGCATTTTTGTTCCCATTTTTGGTCACCAAACACGGGTGGACGTTGTCGTCGGCCCGTATCCTTAGCTATCACAAGCCTGCCTTGTTATCTGAGGGTGGAGGTTCCATCCTGCGTAAGAACCGGGCGATCTTCACTGTTTCCATATACTGAGCCCACCTGATGGCAGTTGCGCGACAGCGAAGCGTCGGTATTACGGAGCGGCTTACCGCTGATGCCTTCTTTCTTCTTCTTTGTAAATGTTCTTACAAGAACTTCTATGAATGTCTTGGGTCACAACAACGAGCTATTTCCCGTCTGCGTCCAGTGTGTAGATTGATGACATGTCGTGAGGACGGTAACGTTCCCTGTCCCTTTCGGTCACATGATTGTCTCCAATATTTCCCTCCATTTTCAAGGGATCATGAGATAATCGATCGTCGTCTAAGTATTGTTTATCTTTTGCATCGAGACATTGCAAGCGTCACATTTACTGATACTCGGCTAGGACTCTACTCCGCTGCTCTGAAAGACCATTCGGGTCACTCGATTACATCACTGTGTTCAACTCACTTGCTTGAGAAGATGTTCCGACAAAATTTGCAAGAGTTTTATCCTGCCCGCAACTGCTCCAGGTCCCGCCTGGGTTTATGGCGAATTTGTACGATGCTTTGCCAGGGGCAACACTTCTGTTCTCCAGTATGGTTCCTTTCCCCATCTTAGTTCAATTTTGAACTCCATCCTAGAGTGTTCTCTTATGGAGTCCCAGATGCTTGTAGCCATGCCTTGTCAGGGCGGTTCAATCAACTCTAGATTGGTCCCATCTTTGGGCATGTACTTGGCACTTTCGAAATTCGAAGTGTCGTTTCAGGGCCACTAGTCAGTTAATAATATACGGACCCTTAATAGCAAGAAACTGGCCGTAGTTGATCAATTCATCTATCTTGGTAGCTGGATTATCAGCAAAACCACCTCCTTGAACCAGTAACATTCTGGGTGTCAGAAAAGGATTTCCTCCTGTCCGAAACGCTGTGTGTACATGGTCACTTTGTGGGCTGTCCTACCCTATTGGAGTGAGGCTTGGCCCCCTCAGCCTGAGGATCTGAGGCGCGTTCAGGTTTTTGACCAATGTTACACGTTGACTATTACTAGAGTCGGGCAGCATCGATGTATCCGCAATGAAGACGTGCGTGGGCAAGTACTGAACGGTTCTAATCTGACCACTTCCTTAGAGTAACAAATAACATTGAATAAGCCGCGTGAGCTTTGGCACGTTCTACATATGCTTGGTCACCGTCTACCCAGGAGGTCTTCGTTTTGTCTACCAGATGTTGGACGACACGTTGCCCGACGTGAACTGACGACTAAACTGGATGCCGTTGGCTAGTCTCCCCCTGCAGGTTGAAGTCCACACAACCCACACGACCCACTTTGTGCTCCGCTCTTGGCTTTACAGGATGTCACTCGCAGTCGCCACCAGTGGCGCATCTGCTGTCGTCTCCTAGTCGGATTGTCTTGTTTCAAGTGTGTCTGATAATGCAGCGTGGTGACTTATTATGATCTGGGGCAGTGAAAAGCGCAAGGAAGCTGTCTCACCGATGCCGCTTTATCTTTACACGATGGACAGATGTCCGTTACCTATGCTTGTTAATTTGATGTAGGCGCCTTGACCCTGAATGTTTGCTTAGGGCATCCAGGTTCCACACTAGGTCCCCCTTCTTTCCCGCACACTATTCTTCATTCCTTAGGTCATTGTGACTGTCCGCCAGCGAAGCATAGTTCTAATGGTTAATGTGTTGCTGCCAGTGCCAAGGAGTGCGATGGTAGTGAGCCATGCGTTGGTTCCATAACGCGGATACCTTAATCCTGAACGCGTGCTTATAACTTTTAGGTTATACATCAAGCCCTTCTTTTCCTCTCTTAGTATTGTTTTCTGTTTTTGGGGATATTATTGTTCGGAAACACCGATACCGGTTAGTGTTGATAATGTTTACATCACGTAATGCGTCATATGTTGCGTACGACACTCCCAGCGACCATTCACTACCTGAATCGCTTAGCACTCCTTACTCCATCTCCCCTTCTTCTAGCTCGTGGGTATTCACACACAGTTATACACAGAGCTTGGCCTCAATGATTCCGGGCGTGACAGTCGTGTCTTAGACGAAATGACAATGATCAAACGTGATCCGATCACTGGTCAAGTGCTCAGCATTCGTGAACTCGATGTTGTGCACCGACCGTCGTCTTTATACGTTACGTACGCCCCCAAGGGACTGCAGCTGCTACGTCAGTGGGATAATCAGGGGAGACTCCGACAGGCGATTCTCTACACAGTGAGTTTTCCTTGGCAACTTCTCAGTTGGGTGAACAGCTCTGTCTACTGCATTTCCTGTATCAGTGTCGATTTTGGAATGCTTTACAACTTCCCACGTCTTCTCTGTCTTCCAGCTCTCGTCACGTCGTGATCCATTGTACAACCTGTCGTTGATTTACCGTCCGAACTCTTTGGACGTGGTACAACAACGAGAGGAGCAACGTGGTCACGTGCCACGCTGGGTCACCTTTGTTCAAGGTGTTGGTGGTCGATTGGAGGCAGTAGATCGCGAAGAAGCTGGATCCAGCCTACGTTCACACACCGAACTTGTCCATAATCCAGAGGGTCGCGTCGCTCGCCTAAGAATCGCCATTTCCGATCCCCAACTGGCGGCCACAGGTCTTTCCAACTCCGGACCGACTAGTCGTTCCGAGGAGCTGCAGTTCATCTATGATACCCGAGGATTGCTTAAACGTCGCGGTAACTGGGAATACATGTTTGACGAGGATGGCTTCCTCTCCGAACGTCGATTGCACGAGGACCACATTGTGGACCGTTTTGCGTACAACAGCAAGGGTTTACTGATTTGGGCTGAGCGAACGATGGATCCTGAATCGCCCACCGATTCCCCCGAACCGCTGGTAACCGTGTTTGACCGCCCTCCAGTCGAGGATGACGTCGGTTCGAACCGACCATTCCGTGTGCAATACATTTATGACGCACAGGACCGTCTTACGATCATTCGTGACACACTTTTGGTGCGTGATCTTGCGCAATACTTTTACGCGGACCCAGGGCATCCCAACCGCATCACACATGTGTTTAACCACGGCCGTCTTACCACTTTTCGTTTGCATTACGACCCTGTACAAGGTCATTTAATTGCTATGGAGGAGTTCGCTGCCATTGAAGACCCTCACGCTTCTAGCGACCGACCACTCATGTCGGACAGATCAAATCACGACACCAAGTACGCCAACAAACCTTTAAGCGATGCGACACCGAAATACCTCTACTTCATCATCACCAACCAGGAAGGTTCTCCTATCGCAATGATCTCAGAGGATGGAAAAGTGAGCCTAGTTCTCAATATTGTTACTCTAACTTCATTGGTTGGACTTATACAAAGATGACCACTGCGTATTACTGATTTCTGGAGGTAACTCACATTGGCCGCCCTAATTACGCTTTAGGCTCACGGCACCTAGAGACCACATACTGATCATGTTGGTGTAGGCACATCTTTCAAAACTCGAGATTAAAGTTTATCTAATTAGTGAGCTAGGTAGATAGGTTACTATTTACTCATGAGATTTTCGATGTAGCTCCCAATTCAGATAATCCTCCACACTCCCGGAATAGCGCTAGGTAGACTCGCTGGTAGCGCGCATTCAAAGGCACCATCAGGATCCTAAACCATGACCACCAGTGGCTTGCGTTACTATCCAGTAGCTTACACCACTAGGCCACGAGGGACGGTGGCGGTGCTGACTTACATGCCAACTGCCACGCAAGTTACGAACTTTACAGAGGACAGGGTTGACCTTGAGAGACACGACTGCCATCTTTTCATGGTAAATCCCCTACTCATGACTTTATTAAAAGACCCGTCTTAACAGCTTCTAAACACCATGTCGTATGCGTCTTCTGTTGATGGAGGTTGGGTCTCTCGGCACCAACCCTGTCGTCTGCAACCTTTGTAGCTTGTATACGACAGACGTATAAGGAGTTTCCCCTTACTGTAATGGCGTCGTTCCAAAACCGCTCATCCTGTCAACGTTCGTCAGCCTGTGACATTTTTAACCCCACTGTTGGTGCAGGCTTGCTAATTAGACGTAAGTCATATGTGATTCGCGGAATGTTATACGTCCGTTTTTGGCCTTCGCCAGTCTGTGTTTACGGAGGCCAGTTCACATGTGATCATCATCATTCATCATTCCTTGAAGTTTACAATCCTACTGTTCCATAGACTAACCTCACTGCGCTAATGCTGTGACTTGACTGCTCATTGAGCGCACCGCGCAAATGCTTAACAAAGTTGCACCCTAACTGCTCGGACTGTTACATGGCAGTAAACCGCGCGCGCTGATCAGCCTGCTGATTAGCGACCAGGCGCACCAGCGACGATATCTCATCCAACCGCTGTTCGTTCTGTGAAGGTTCCCCGCGGGTGACCCGTTGATAATAAAAAAAATTGTCACTGGTTTGCAACAAGTGTGGATACACACGAAACGGCATCCTATGATAAAATGTACATGCATTTGGTCAGAGCCGTGTGCGCTTAAAAGATTGAAAAGGACATGAGGAAAGCAAATACATATGGTGGAAGGTTTGTACAAGTATAAAACTCGATTTCCTTTGTCTTCAGTTGTTTGATGGCTCGACTCATTCTGCACACTGCCTATAGTATATGGATAGTAAGAAATGCATGTCGCACTTTCTAGCTGTGTTAAATTTCCTAATTGACGTATTACTATCACCGGTGATGATTGGTGTCAAAGCTTGATTAGCTTACTCACGCTTCATGTCATGCCTTTCCCTATCTCTCGCTTCACAGACTATCTGGACCGCGGAATACTCAGCAACAGGCGGTCGCCGGCTAACACCTCCCAACCGGGCCAAATTATTTCGCACCTCCATTGTTGAGGACGCCAATGTGCCTTTGGGGTACGCTGGCTGTCTTGTTGATGCTCACACCGCGTTCCTCTTCTGCCCGCCTCAAATGCGCGCATACGATCCGCTTGGGGCCACCTTTACTAGCCCAGATTGGCGCGGCCTGCTAACGCATCGGTTGGGTCACGTGTATCGCGATCCGTCTTCTCTAGACACACACAAATGGGGTACCACCGAGCAGCACTTTCTTCGACTTGGTCCGGTGGGACTGGCGGACCGCTTGAGCGAGGCGCTCCAATCATCCGCTTGGTGGCTTCGGCAGACGGGCTTGGACTTACAATCGATTGTGCCGCCGTTCGACCCATGCACTGGCACAATCGGATTCGATGCAAACTTGCACTGGAAGTTCCCTAAGCTCCCTGCCAGCTTTGCCTCTTCTGCAGAACCGAGCGACTCTTCTCCACATCGAAATTGTCCATTTTCATCCCTGAGCAGTAAATTGGAGCGTCTGAGCGTTGTTCAGCCAAGCCGACTCACTCCCGGTAACTCGCATGGGACCAGCCTTCCCGAAATCTTGAGTTACGGTGCAATTGAGCAATCATTTCACTTGATCCCAGCAGAACACATGTTCGGTTCAAAAGTACGTTCCTCCTCTTACTTTTTGATAGTTTTCTGTTCGTATCATATATGCACTCCACTGGTGAACTGGTGGGTTTTCACTCCTAAGCCCAATATGTGTTCTGTTGTATCAGGTGATTTTCTGAGGATAAACTGACGCATCGCTGATCTCACAGCCGTGAGGTTTTCGAGTTAGATAACCCTATGCACTATGTAATACGCTTGCTTACTCTACACCGACGTTGCGAATTTTCACTCGGATGTTTCCTGGATCCTTATTTGACACCTGACCGGGTTGTTACATTGGCCTGGACTGATATTCACCTTCAGCGTTTATCTTCCCCGGTAGGTATGTTATCATGTTACTTTCTGGCCCTTTGTATCATCACTTCTGGCAGAGCCAGATGGTCTTATAGTTGTTCTAGAGTGTGCTGAGTACAACACACCAATCAGGGCGATTAGGACATCCATGTCTATCTTGATTGGTTGTTTGAAAGCTTTCCTTTGGTTGATTGCTTTGTTTCATTGTCTACGGTGCGCAACGCACTCTCAAAGTTGATCTTCATTATAGGGACCAAGTGAGGCCATTTAGTACCATGATTGTTTTTGTTGCCCCTAGCTTTGTTCTCGCGTCTACGCCCTATATCCTTACTGGACCGGTCTGCTCCAGCACCATCGACCACATGTATGCCTGATGGAATTCGGGACCACTGTCATCACCATACGCTCGCACTCGAGACCTACACGACACTTGAACAGACCTCGCCAACAATTTGTTTTCAGTACCCCATTCACTGGTGATCGGGTATGCGTGCTAATGAAGGCAAGCGTAGTGGAGAACGTTTTTGCCTCGCAATCAGTCGGTTTAACCTAATGACCTTATTGGCGCTAGCTTCAAATTTTTGGCTAATTCTGTCAATTGGTGGGACTTTGCGAGGGACAGTGTCACACTCTTGGATTTGTGCATCGGTCTAGGTTCTCAAACTGTTTTTACCAAACTGAAAGACAGAAGCGAAGCTTCTCATAAACATCGCAATTCATTGACTTCACAAGACTGTTTTCGCCCGTGAAATGTTCTCTTCTTTCGGTAATGTAAGTCACCCACTAGCTTAGCTTCAAACTATCAGATAGTGGTCCCCTATCTACCTGGATTGTTTGCAAGTCGCTGCTGGTTCCGGCGGACTTGTACTCAGTGTTTACATCGTTGTAAAAAGAAACCCTCAATTGTCTATGTCCACCTACCACCGGTACACCCAACGACGCAATTTGTCACACGTTTTGTCACAGTTCACTCTGTTTCACTCCTAACCTCCACTGTCTTCACAGCACATTACAACTGCACCCCACACACATTTCGCTGGAGAATAACTCTCATCCTCTACAACACAGTGTCGCTGGGCAGCGGAGGGACAAGAAAGAATTCCACTGGTGTCTGAACTAGTCCATCGGAAGGGTTTTCGCATTTCTGTACCTCACTTTTCATCTAGCTGAAAAAGCCGCAGAATCAAGTAGTCCGGCTTGCCTCTTATCATTGCACTTGAAGAAGACACTTACGATGGTTCCTGCTTTGACCTACGATTGACTCCAGGAAGCATCACGTCGAGTTTCGGAATTACGGCGGTACTACAGTCCATGGTCTCTCACTTCCGGTTGTGTACATTTCACCCCGATTATTTTTACTCACTTTCAGTGACTTAATTCACCGGCCCATGGGTGACGGTGGCGGACCGATACGATTGGCTGCTACTTACGATGTATGGCACGGCTCACCCTCCACTCTTATGCATAGTATGGGCGAGCGGAGGAAAGGGCTGACCCCTGCAGCTACGACTACTTTTGCAAACCGCCCCCAGTAGAAGTGAGATGTAAGCGTCTTCATGGCAGTTGAAGATGAACCACACCATATTGCAGTCAGCCTTTGCCGTCCGTCGCCGTCATACAAGAGCTCAATTGTTCCTGACCTGTTGCGATAGCTTGTGCGTCTGTGTTGGCAACCGGATCCCGGCGCATGCAACATGCGCTGCTGGACTCATGCTTGCAAGATGATACCGAAACTTGCACGTGACTGTGTGGATTCCGCACTGTCACGCTGTGCCGGCCATCTACACCATTTCCCGACCAAGTGGTCCTCTTGGGCAACAGAAATAATTTGAGGGGGCATTCAACATGAGTCTACTCAATTAATTTGTTCCCTGCGTAGGAGCTGAAGCATCCCATCTGCACCCCTATGACTTAGTGCGTCTGAGGTCCAATTGGCTGAAGGCGATGGGCTATACACGCACACCTACACACATGCACAAGTGACTGGCGTACGCACGGAACAAATTAATTGAGTAGACTCATGTTGAATGCCTCCTCAGATTATTTCTGTTGCCCAAGAGGGCAACTTGGCCGGGAAATGGTATAGTCCACCATGCAAATCCATGTTGTGTATTAGCCAATGAATCCACAGTAGTCTGTGACTACCTCTGAGTACCTGTTACTGCCTGGAGTGGCTATGATGTGCAAATTCTGTGCGTACTTCCATTCCTTAACCGGACTCTGCGTTCTGTGATTCTCATGAGTAGGGATTTCAATATAATTAATTGAGGTTCTTCGCATCCAGCTTTCAAATCAGATAGTCGTCCACATACCCGGAAAAGCGCTAGACTGCAGTTTCAGCCTGTTGGGCATCGTCAGTAGTACGCATCCATCGGATCCATCAGGATTCGAACCCTTGGCCACCAGCGGCTTGAACCGCCAGTCAGCAGCCACTGGGCCACGGGGTACAGCTTCGGTCCATCATGATCTACAAACTAACCGCGATATAGCGCGCCTTATCCTCCACTGCCGTGCAAGTTACAAACGTTGCAGAGGACAGGGTTGGCCCCGAAAGACATGACGTCCACCAACAGTAGCTATGTATGACATAGCGTTTAGCTTGTAAATGTTCACGGTCCGACTCTGTTCCAAGTGACCCAGTGTCATAAGTTGCTGACGAACGGTTCAAGCTGCTGCTGACCCTGGGTTCGAATCCTGGTGGGTTCACGCTACTGACACTGCCCAACAGGCTGAAACTTCAATCCAGTGCTTTCCCGGACATGTGGACGACTATCTGACTTGGAAGCTGGCTGCGAATAACCTCAATTAATTCTGTGATTCTCCTGCACCTAAACTACAATAACTGCTTCTGCACACAATTCTTTGAATTCCCCCACTTTCGGATATTCGTTCAATACTCCGAAATACTAAGACTCTTTTCACTAAACTCAACTTGCGCTCAAACTTTTTTCTTTGGTGCTAATTTTTCTCGTGGCGATGCGAGTCGTGGCGACTGGGTCCATCACACTTCGGTTCACGGACCATAATTATTCGACTAAACTGAACCGAGCCGAACTATCCCAGAGTACGCTGATTTCTATGGAAGTCAATGAACCATGTTTATGCTTCGACTGCTAAGCATCCGTTTAATGTCATGCTCTTTCAACTGAGTCCGCCCCCCCCTAATTCATTCGGCTTTACCAGTCGGCGTCCCGTCAGCAACACATGTATGGTAGTTACCTCGCCAAGCGGCAACTACCGTTTCGCATCCGCTATTGAAGTCACCTTCCGAATTCCCTTTGCGCTTGCTCATTCAATGGCGTGTGTCGGCCCTGAGAACCTAGAAGTTTAGACGTTCAGCCAGCAGTATTTCTCCCACAGCATCCATCATCTGTTCTACTGACCGTATCGTAGCTTGGACACAATCCTACGAAGCGTCAGTAGTACAGCATCATGGAACCAATTTCGTCCTGTTTTCGTTTCGATCACAGGATTCCTCTTCTTTTCCCACGTGGCTCTCACCAGTGCTGTTTCACTTAAGCTTTTTAGAGCTCCCGTTCTGTTCACTCTTCTCACGACTCTGGTCGTTGGGATCGTGAATCACTGCATTCCAGTTACTTCATCTGAATTGGTAATTCCCCGGAAAAAATCCGGAATGCAGTCGGTGCAACCGATCTTTGCGCTTCATCATTAGACTAATCGCGACATCTATACGGATGCTAGAATCTTGACACACTCTAGCGTGGGCTCTATAGGTCGTGTTGGCTTCGCGTTTTCAGAACCCTCACCCATTCCCGTCACCATTGAATAAACACCTGTAGTGCGTGCTCGGTAAACCTTACTGCGTACTTAATTCATCCCTAAAGATCAAATCACCAAAGCGGTTACCTCACACAACAACTCGAATCATATCACTTAAGAGTAGTACAGCGCGGCCACAACGGACAGTTTCTGTGTGTGGATCGGAAGCATAACCACTGCTCACAGAAGAACTTAGGAGACTGGGCTTCCGCAACTGTTGATGCTTGACTGCCGTTGCTCACACACGATGGGACCGTCAAGTATCTGATCCCATAGCCACTAAGAGACACTTTTCAATGCAACCTCTAGTGATACGCATAGCCCCTGATAGAATTCAACAGCATCCATTGGTTGTCGTATCTTTGACTAGGCTCGTCGCAGCTAGACTCAGCCACACAGCTACCAAACACCTAGAAAAGCGTTACACGACTGTTTCCTGTTGCTGGGACTCCTCAGCAGCATTTTCCATCAAATCCTGCTGGATTCGAAGCCATGATGTTCTTTTCGCGATTCAGTGATTTATGCCACTGAGTTGGTGGAGGCGAACCGCCATGACTGGTTTCTAACTGCGATATAACCCGGCTCATCCTTCACCGCTATACTTGTGATGGACGTACAAAGGACAGAGCTGTCCCCCAGCTACGACTACCTTTGCAAGCCACTCCTAATCGAGGGGACATGTAAGCTGCTTCGTGACAGTTGCGGTTTGATAGCCAGCCAACGCGGTCCCCCCGTCGTCACCCACTACTCGGTGGCTTGAATCACGAACTCGTAAGAGTTAGGTCACGGGTTCGCACCCAGCGAATGCATTCTACCCACTAGACCCAGTAGGATGAACCCGCCATCTGGATATGTGGTGGTTGTCTGAGTTTGACTGCGACCAATCTACTGGGAAATACAACATAATCCACCCACTACTCA